CCATAAGGGAAGAGAACAAGAGAAGAAAGAACTACAGAAGCAACCAGAAAACAATTAACAAAATGGTAATAAGCACATACCTGTCAATAATTACCTTAAACATTAATGGATCAAATACTCCAATCAAAAAGCATGGGGTGACTGGATTTAAAAAAAAAAAAAAAAAAACTTCCATACACTGCCTATGAGAGACTCACTTCAGACCTAAAGACACATGCAGACTGAAAGTGTGAGGAAAATGGTATAAGCAGCAGCAACAACAACAAAAAGCTGCAGTAGCAATACTGAAATGATAGTCTTTGTTTTGAAGTAAACTATAACAAGAGACAAGGGCATTGCACAATGATAAAGGGATCCAACAAGAGGATATAACAGTTGTAAATATCTGCACCCAACATAGCATCAAAATACATAAAGCAATTCATTAACAGACAAAAAGGGGGAAATTGATAGTAATACAATTATAGTACAGGACTTTAACACCCCACTTACATCAATGGATAGATCATTCAAACAGAAGCTCAATAAGGAAACAGTGGCTTTGAACGAAGTATTAGACCAAATACACTTAATAGATATACAGAACATACCATCCAAACATAGAATACACATTCAAGTGTACATGGAACGTTATCCATGATAGTTCACATGTGAGGCCACAAAACAAGTCTCCGTAAACTTAAGAAGACTGAAATCCTGTCAAGCATCTTTTCTGATTACAACAGTATGGAAAAAAAAAAAAACAGTATGAAAGTAGAAATCAATCACAGAGGGGTGCCTGGCTGGCTCAGTTGGTAGAAGATGCAACTTGATCTTGGGATTGTGAGTTCAAGCCCCACGATGGATATAGAGATTACTTAAAAAAATAAATTCTTAAAAAAAAAAATCTATTACAGGAAAAACGTTGAAAAAAAAAACCAAAAACATATGGAGGCTAAAGAACATGCCACTGAACAACCAGTAGATTGAGGAAATCAAAAAATACCTTGAGACAAATGAAAACACAACAGTTCAAAATATTTAGGATGCAGCAAAAGCAGTTCTAAAAGGGAAGTTTGGAGCAATACAGGCCTATCTCAAGATAACAAAAGTCTCAATTTCATGTTATACCTAAAGAAACTAGAAAAAGGAGAACAAATGAAGTCGAAAATTAGAAGATAAGAGAGAATAAAGATGAGAAATAAATGAAATAGACTTAAAAAGAGAGAAAAAACAGTCAATGAAACTAGAGCTGGTTCTTTGAAAAAATAAGCAAAATAGATAAACCTATAGCCAGACTTTTAAACAAAAGACTCAAAATCAGAAATGAAGGGGAAGAAACAGCCAACACCACAAAATACAGTGGATTATGAGACTACTTTGAAAAATTATACACCAACAAATCAGACAACCTAGAAGAAATGGATAAATTCCTAGAAAAATATAATCTTCCAAGAATGAGTTAGGAACAAAATCTGAACAGACTGATCACTAGTAATGAAATTGAACTGGTGATAAAAACTCCTAAAAAACAAAAGTCTGGAAGCAGATGGCTTTATAGGTGAATCCTACCAAACATTTAAATAAGTGTTAATACCTCTTCTCAAACTATTCCAAAAAATTGAAGAGGAAGGAATGCTTCCAAATTCATTCTATGAAACCAGCATTACCCTGGTAACCAAAACCAAAGGCACTACAAAATAGAAAATTACAAGCAAATATCCCTGATAAACATGATAAAGCATTCCTCAACAAAATATCAGCAAACTGAATTCAATTAAAATGATCATTCACCACGACCATGTGGGATTTGTTCCAGGCATGCAAGAATGGTTATGTCTGCCAACTGAACAGCCCATTAACAAAATGAAGGACAAAAATCATATGATCTCAATAGATGCAGAAAAAGCATTTGACAAAATTCAACAAATCCACTCATGATAGAAACTCTCAACAAAGTAGGTACAGAGGGAACATACCTCAATATAATAAAGACCATATATGTCATATATGACAAACCCACATCATAATCGGTGGTGAAAAGTTGAAAGCTTTTCCTCTGAGATTAGGAACAATACAAGGATGTCCACTCTAGCCACTCATATTCAACACAGTACTGGAAGTCATAACCACAGCAATCAGACAAGAAAAAGAAAAGGCATCCAGATTGGCAAGGAAGAAGTAAAACTGTCACTATTTGCAGGTGACCTAGTATTTTTAGAAAAAGCCCTAAGGACTCCACCATAAAACCATTAGAATAAATGAATTCAGTAACGTTGCAGGATAGAAAGTTAATATACAAAAATCAGTTGGGTCTCTATACACTAAAATGAGCTAGCAGAAAGAGAAATTAAGAAAATAGTCCCACTGACAATTGTGTCAAGAAGGAAAAAAATACCTAGGAATAAATTTAACCAAAGAAGTTAAAGACCTATACTCTGAAAACTGTAAGACACTGATGAATGAAACAGATAAATGTAAAGATAATACCATGCTCATGGATTGGAAGAATTAATATTGTTAAAATGTCGACTCAACCCAAAGCAATCCACAGATTCAGTGCAATCCCTATCAAAACACCAATAGTATTTTTCACAGAACTAAAATTCTAAAATGTGCACGGAACCATAGAACACCCTGAAGATCCAAAGTAATCTTGAAAAAGAACAAAGGTGCAGTTAATCACAATCCTAGATTTCAAACTGTCCTACAAAGCTATAGTAATCAAAACTATGTGGTACTGGCACAAGTATTTATGCAGTCACATTTTTCAATTTTAGAAGTTGATTAAGCCTAAGTACTTAAAAATGGGATGTGAGAGTAGGTGGTAACTAAGGAGATGTAATTATAAATATTTCATTAAACAAGCAGTCTTAATGTATCTCACCTTGGGGTTTCAAAAACTTGAGAATTTTTTTTTTTTTTACACAGTGTCATCTTTGTAATAGCTTAATTCTGCAATACTTTTCAAATAAAGTACATCCAGTGTGGAGCCTACTTAAAAAATAAGTGAGCAAACAAAAAACATTTAACTCAAAAATATGGAGAACTGGTGGCTGTTTTAAGGGTACTGAGGTACAAACTCCAGTTACAAATTAGTCATGTGGATGCAAAGTACAATATAGAGAAGATAGTCAATAATATTCTAATAAGTTTGTATGGTGACAGATGGTTACTTACTGGTATTTGGTGATGTAAACAAATGTCAAATCTCTGGTTTACACCTACAACTAATATAATATTGTATGTCCACTATACTTCTAAAAAAACATACATTAGGAACCTACTAAACAGACACCTAGATCAGTGGAACAGAATACAGAGCCCAGACACAAATCGAGATGAACACAGATGAAATCAAGACTGGGAAACTCTTCAGGGCAAACAACTGGGTTTCTTTAACAAATTTTAAAGGGAAAAAGAGATGCAGGAAAACTTAATAGGTTAAGAGATTTAGAACAGTGACCAGTTGCAATGTGGCCCTCATTTGGATCCTCAGTCAGACAAACTTAAGAAGAATGTAGGACATTGAGACAGTTTGAATACTGGATATATTATGATGAGAGTTGGGTTTTCTTAGACATGATTAATAGTATTGTTACATTTAAAAAAAAAAGTTCATGCTTAGAGACAGATGCTAAAATATTTTCTGAAATAAATGCTAGAATGTTGAAACTATGCAACATTTTGAATTTCCTTCAGGATAATACTGGAGAGGTTTGGGATGAGTGGATGGGATAGTATCAGCCAGGAGTTGATAACAGATCGGGGCTGGGTAATAAATACATGGGGGTTTGGTATTCTAGTTTTACATATATTTTAATCTCTCCATAATAAAAAAAATATATGCTAAAATTAAAAATATAACATAAGGACAGTATTAATCATCATCACATTATATAACAAACCATCCTAAAACTCACTGGCATATTACAGTATTTTTTCATACTCCTGGGTCTTAGGATCAGCTGAGGGTTGACTGATAGAGGCAGATCTCTCTGCCACAGGCACATGTTGAATTCAGATCTGAGCTGGGTTTTCACTCTGGGTGCCCAGGCTGAAGAGGTAATGGCTACTTAGTGCATGCTACTTTCAGATCACAAAAGTGCCATCAATTTAAAAAAAAGTGCATTTTCAAGCTTCTGGCCATGTCATCTGGTCAAAGCAAGTCTTGAGGCCATGGCCAGATTCAACTCCTCCTCCTTCCTACTAAGAACCATTGCAAGGGTGCAGATACATTTCTATTAAAGGAAAGGGAAGAATTGGGACCAATAATCCAGTCTGTCTCAGGGTCTGAAAATGAAAGTTAATTTCCCAGGAAAGGATAAAAGAAACAGGGCCATAGGAGACCAATTCAGGAGTTGTAAAACTGACTAATACAAGTCCCAGAAAGAGATGAGAGAGAAAACAAAAGGGGAAAATTCCTTTACCCCATAATTTTTCCGAGTTGGGGGGAGGAATCTAAATTGGAAGGGTTCTAACTCCCCTAAATGAATGAAAAAAGTCTCTTGCCCAGACACATTAAGTTTCAGAATGTCAAGAGTAATGGAAGATCCTGTTTCCAGATGTGGGGAAAAGGACATCTCCTTGTTAAATACTCCTAGCTCTATGATTGTGATTTTCATCCTTTGTGAAGATTGTATTGCTGATTAGTGAAACATTAACTTTGATTCCTTCAGAGCAGTATTTGGCCCATAACAGAACTGGCCATACCTTCAAACTCAGCATTTTGAGCCTAAGTTATGCAAATTACCCAGGGAAACAAATGAATTCTTGAAAAAGTTGTTTTACACAGACTGATTCAGAAAGTTACTGGTCAGCTGATAAACACAAAAAATTGCATCCTGCTAGAGTGTGGTTAGAATAGATCCTAGTATCGATTCTGTAAGGATAGAAATGTGTATATTGCCCTTGTAGCCAACCAAAGTTTTGTTTGGGGACTTTAGGTTTTGTAACCTGTTTTAGATAAGTTTGTAATATGAAAAAAAGTTGGTTAAATATATCTATAAATTTTTTTTAAGCTCACTGAAAACTGAGGCTAATTTGGAAGTTCTGAAGTCAATACCTAGTGAAAAACTAATGATTGAAACTGGTAAGTTTATGCTTTTAGAACTTTGATTTTCATATTAAACCATATCAAAAAAGCTAGACAAAAAAATATTTTAGAACAGCTCACTCATAGCTTCAGCAATTATACTTTTCAGAAAACCTTTGGGTTTTTTTATCAATTGATAGAAAAGTATTTATGCAATCAAGTTTTTCAATTTTAGAAGTTTGATTAAGCCTAAGCACTTTAAAAAAGAATATTAGAATATTTAACTAAGGAAGTTGTAATTATATTTTATTAAACAAGTAGTTTTAATGAAGTATCTCACTTGGGGTTTCAAAAACTTCAGAATTTTTTTTGTAAAATTGTAATGGCTTAATTCTACAATACTTTTTTTTTTTTTAAAGATTTTTATTTATTGAGAGAGAGAATGGTAGAGAGAGAGCATGAGAGGGAAGAAGGTCAAAAGGGAGAGGCAGACTCCCTGCTGAGCAGGGAGCCCGATGCAGGACTCGATCCTGGGACTCCAGGATCATGACCTGAGCCGAAGGCAGCCGCTTAACCAACTGAGCCACCCAGGCACCCTACAGTACTTTTCAAATAAGGTACAAGAATTTAAATCAAACTGGTTTAGTCAAGGAATTTTAGAAATTAATCTGTTGCCTCTTATAATAAGCTTAGAAGCTAAACATTTTACCTAACCCTGAACTCAAGGCTTTACTTACACATAGGGGCTTTTTTAGGAAAGTCAAGACTAAGCCATTCTGAGGAAATCAGGTTTATTTTCTTGGAGAGTCATGAAAATGAAATGATCTTATTAAAAGTACAATGCGGGGCGCCTGGGTGGCTCAGATGGTTAAGCGTCTGCCTTCGGCTCAGGTCATGATCCCAGGGTCCTGGGATCGAGTCCTGCATCGGGCTCCCTGCTCACTGGGAGCCTGCTTATCCCTCTGCCCCTCTCTCTCTCTCTGTCTCTCATGAATAAATAAATAAA